ACTTATCTTGTCTTGACTTATCTTAACTTATCTTATCTTATCTTAACCTATCACATTATATTGTGTTGCACATTAACCCTCACCTTAAAATGATTTTGTGTAATGATTTAATGATGATTAAATGTATTTTGTTGGCACCTCAGACAGGGCGACTGTTTAAACAGACTTAGATTCCTACAACATGAGTTGTAACTACACACACACACACACACACACACACAAACACACACACACACTCGTTTCTGGGCGAGCCACATGAAAGCAGTGTACACCCTCAGTGTGTGTCAGCAGTGTGTTATTAGTATCCAGAGACTCCAGAGTGTCTGCTGCTCCGTCACCTCCCACAACCTCCCAGACACGCACATACACGTGTGCATGTGCGTGTCTGTAAGTTGTATCACATATAGACGAGTGCAGCCTGTGTGAGTCCCTGTGACGGACAGGAAAGTACCATCAACTCCTCTGTGTGTGTCTGTCTGTGTGTGTGTCTGAGTGTCTGTGTGTGTCTGAGTGTGTGTGTTTGCAGGTAAGTACACACAGAGACAAACACGTTAGTCAAATAAAGACATTTTATTTTTTAACTCAATTTCTGAAACATAAATGTTTTTGCATAAACTGAACTGCGTTGATTTGCAGTTGACTCTATAAATAAAAGACCTGAGTACAACACATGTTAACACAAAATATAAAACTGATTTTTAGACTTTTAAATTCCAACTCGCCGTCACTGTTTCTCTTCCTGGGTATTTCTGGGCCTCGTTGTGTCTGTGAACTTGAATTAAAGGTTCACTGCAACAACTTTAAAGATCAGATTTCATGCGGTGCAGAATATTTCACAGCCGCAAAAAACTGTCGCACAACGTCACTGAGAAGTTTTGTTGGTTCTGATGTTCCAGTTTTGGTTCGGAGGTTAAACACAAATTTAAAGAGTGAAAACAAGAAGTTTAAAACATGTGGCATTTATCTGGAGAGCGGGGTTTACTGAAATACACTGCCAAGTTGCATTATGGGAGTTGCAGCAGACAGTGTGTTGACACACTGAATCCCTGCAGAGACTTTAACTCTGAATAATACACGAAGAAAAGACGAATCTGTGAGAATGTCTTTTATCAGCGATGACAACGAGCGGCTGAATCGTGAATAAAGATTATTTCATGACAGATTATAATAAATACATCACATCCTGTAAACATTCATCCAAAGGTTCGTAATAAAACTTCATTCAATCACACAAGTTGTTTTTTTATCACTGACATCGTCCAGTCACCGACACCGTGATGTCATCACACACGCCTTCAATCACACGTGTAGCAGACGTCCATGTGGCTTCACTAGAAACACGGAAGAATCATAAATATAAGAATTCCTTTTATCCCTTTATTCTTTTATCATTATTTGTTGTTTTTTTTAATATTAAAGTAAATTGTTTGACTTTAAAAATAAAATAAACCTTTAACACCATTATAAGAGGAGCTGACTCCTCCCTCTGTATCACACCTGACGTAATGCGTGAGCCTGGCGCCTACATCCCCCACAATGCAACTCAACCCCTGACAGAGATTCAGGCGTGTCGCCTCAAACTGAGACGAGTCGACGGAAGTCTGGTAAACTCGTCTGAATCATGTGACATCACTTACGACAGTTTATCAGATTCCCACAGCGCCCCCTTGAGACAGGAAGGTTCAATACAACTCTGTCCACGACGTCGTCGTTGTGCGTACGTTTGAATCCGAGTGAGACCTCCCGTCTGACAGCGTGCACGTGTGTCTGTTGTGTAATAAAGCTTTGATAAAACATGTGCAGACATCGTTCGGTCCATGGTGACGGAGTGTTGACGTAGTTTTTTTACCGTTTACGCTAATTTCCTGGGAGAATTTCAGTAGTACTCAGTTGAACAGTTCAAATGGTGTTTGACATAAATACCGTCAGATTTAAAATATTAAATATACAAAATATTTTCTGTGAATTCAAATAAAAAAAGGTCAGTACGAGCGTCTGCACCGAAAACCCCCCCGCACCGCTGCTCCGGCGCTCTGCGTGATGACGAGCGTCACCGACGAGGAGGTTAACTGAGGCCAGGAGTTTTTGCCTCTGTGTACATTTGAGCCTGTTAAACAACATGCGTGTCAGGTTTTACAGTCGTGACCCGTGTGTGATGACGTCAGAAAACAGCACCCCGCCCCCACCCCCAGCCCCCAGGGCTCCGTTCACACTGCTCAGCAGCGTCCTTGTGTCAGTACACAGCTCCCATGCTCTGTGCGGCGGACGGCGCCGTGGATGGCGTGTGGTGCGTTGGCGCCAGCAGCGGCAGGCCCAAATGCGCCCCCTGCTGCTGGTACCAGTTCTGATGTGAGAACTCGCCCATGTAGGTGGGCGAGGAATCCACAGGAGGCGGGTAGGGACCCTGCCCCCTGCTGGTCGGCTCAAGCAGGGCATTGCTCTTGATGCTGTTTGTGCTGCTGCTGATTGTGTTGCTGTTGTTGTTGTTGTTGTTTGTGTTGCTGCTGCTCTCCCACACCGCGGGGGAGGGGGGGGAGTTGCAGGCCATGGAATCGCTGGCCTCCGGGCTGTGCTCGATTTCCCCGAGTGGAAACTCTCCGTTCTTGTAGAGCTTCTTGAATTTGGAGCGACGGTTCTGGAACCAGATTTTCACCTGGAGGGAGGAGCATCGAAGAGGACAATTACAAGAAGGCGGGGTTTTCCTCTGAGGCGAAGTTGGTTCTGACTCAGAAAGAAGCTAAAAGACAAAAGTGGACAAACTCGTCATGCGTCCAGAAACAGATCCTGCTAACGAACACATTCGATCAGTCTGAGGTTAACGTCGGAGAACGTCTGGAGAACGTCTGGAGATTATCTGGAGCACAGAGCGTCGCTCAGATCCTCACATGTAAACTGTTGTTATTTCTAGTTGAGCTTCTTTATCAGATCTTTTGTTCAGCTCGTCATAAACCAGGAGGAGGTGACAGTGATATCTCTAACCTGCACGTGGTCTATCCTGGATTACTGGCAGCTCCTTTCACTGTAATATGATTCTATAGCTAAGATTTGTATAAACAACGCTGAACTCATGGAGCGAATCAGACTGAGTGACATGACAATCACATGTTTCGAGTGCTGTCGTGCTCCGGCCTTTGTTTTCTAAGCACAAAGCGGAGCAATGATTTACAGGAGCAGTGATAAAACAACCGGTGCAGCCAGATTTTCCTTTTATCACTTGAGCCAAGATAATTCATGTTGTGGTAAATCATAAGGGCAGGAAGAGCACGACTGTGTAAACCAGAGCGACTGAGGCAGAACGAAGGCAGCGCCGCCTCAGATCTTCCTACATCCTGGCAAACCACTGCGTCCAACTGGATTTCTATAGTTTACTTTCTTCCACGTAGGTTTTAATTACATTTTTTGTTTTGAATTAATTTTCTGTGTGATATTGTTTTGTTCTGCGTTGTGTTTAAGTTCCTTCTGTTATTCTAATATTTGATTGTAGGCTGTCATCTATAGTTTATGATGATAATAAAGTGTCTCCCTGTAATTTAAGAGACTTCGTGAAACTGAAAGTTCATTCTTCCACCGTCACTTCATTCTAACTCTTCATATGTTCTTCACACCGCTCATGGTTTCTCATTGATCGACTCCATCAATCGTCAACTCCAGTTTTTTCTTTTTCGTTTGACGTCTGAAACATTGCGTCTGTCGCTCGAGCCGCCGTTTGATCTCTCCTGACACGCGCCCTACACTTCTAATCCATCAGTGACAAATTGAAAAGTGCTTTCATCTTCTTTGATTGAACCAATTAAAGTGACAGTCCAACCTCTCTGTGGTTAACCTGAATGTTCCAACGCTGCCAAAACTAAAAAACTGACGAGTCACCGAGCTCACGAGGCAGCGACAGAACCTGACGCCGAATTCTGTGGAAACGTTTCAGATCTCACTTCATCTCTCGACTCTTCAGATTCCTGTCGGTGGCTCGACCTCAGCTGACACTGAAAACCTCATTCCACATCTTCCTGTGACCTCCTGTGACTTCCTGCGTCACTGAACCGGGCGCCCACTCACCTGAGTCTGCGTGAGGCCCAGTTGCGCCGCCAGCTCGGCCCGTTCAGGCAGCGCCAGGTACTGGGCCGACTGGAACCTCCTCTGCAGGACGGCCAGCTGGTAGCTGGAGTAGATGGTCCGGGGTTTGCGAACCTTCTTGGGCTTCCCGTTGACCATGCGGACCTCCATGTCTGGCTCTTCTTTCACTGTGTGCAGAGTGAGAAGCGTGAGTCTGCGTGCCGGGTCTCCGCAGAGCTTTTACTGCAGAGAAGTTGTGGCACCAAAATAACCTCGGCCGCTACAACCCCGACATTTCAAAGAAATTCCGCCAGAGCTCTGAACTTATAATTTTGGTCTGAGTGTCTCCCACAGCCGGGGAGGGAGACAGAGATTTATAGGTGCTTTTCAAGTAGCCTGGAGGCCGCTCTACACATCCTGCCTCTTCAGGCTCTTATCCCTGCATCCACTTTGGTTTTGTGTGGTTTTTTTTACTTCTACCAATTGTTCTTATTTGTGAGCATTTAGATTATTTAGTTGCAGCACTTTCGGACCAACATTTTTATTTGTGGTTAAACATTTCGAACTTCATGTTTGGAGAAAATAAAATACACAAATTCAAAATGATTTATTTTTTTAAAAAAACCAGGGGAATCCTTCTGTTTGTGGTGAGATCTGCTGGGAGTTTGGGGACGTTAGTATTTCTTTACTTCACATCATTTATTCTCTTTGCCACATGTTTTCTCCTGTTGCTAAATAAAACGTGTTTTCGTTTTAAAAGGAAGCTGAGAGCCGCTGAGATGTTTGTGTGTTTGTTTGCTTGTGTGTTTGTCAGGGTGTGGCCACCTTGCGTGATAAGGAGCCGTCCTTGTTGGATGATTCAAAGGCCAAGGCTGACTGACGTGTCATGACACCTGATGTGCGTGGCTGTGGGCCAAAGTCCCCTGAGGCCATTTCCAGGAGTCAACTCCCAACAGGAATGTCAAAAACAGCACACCAGTCTGTCGAGTTTGTTTTTGCTCTGTGGTTTGCACAGAGACACCTTCCAAGCTCGAGAAGAAGCCAGGAGGAAAAAAAGCTTCTGAACACAGAGCGGCGGAACTCAAAGGAGAAGCCAGAGAGCCAAGGAGTTGACCTCCATGTTCTTATTATACCATTATAGGATCACGTGTTGGGTTTATAATGACTTTATGTAATATTCCTCTGAAGTTCACTAAAGGGACATGAAGCCTCTCATCAGGTTTTATCCTGTCGCTCACATTATCCTACTTGATTTATGTTCAGATTATCTGTAGGAAGACAAATTGTGTGTAAATGAATCAGTTCCTCGTGTCGTCAGCCTCCTGAAGACCTTCAGGGCTCGTCTGTATATTTACTGAATAAAAGCTCAGAGAAATTCAGACAGAATAAAAGTTTCCGTCACACTGAGCCGAACAATAATCCTCATTTAAATGTTAAATGTTTTCTCCTGTTTCCTCGAAGTCATTTAACTTTACAGAAACTCAGATGTGTGTGTGAGGGAAAAACCAGAACACTTCCTTTACGAGTTCTTCCTCCAGTCATCTCAGATTCTCACTCTGTGACCTGGACTCCAGAGATCCATCAACCAGATCTCACTGTGTGATCACAGCTCAGGGTGAAGATAAAGTTAGTTAAAGTTAGTTTTCCATTAAACACTCGGGTTTTCCTGAGCAAATAAAAGTATTAAACATTTTAGAACACTGATAAAAGTGTCTGGCTGCTTCTGTTGTCAGACACTTCTGAGTGATTCAGTCACAGTTGTGGTTGTTATGGTAAAAATCCTGTTTTTGTTAAAGCTGAAAATGAAGTGAAGTGAGTTGTGTCCCAGGTGTGTTTGACTTGATAATCCTGTGATGATGGACAGTCAGGTGCTCGTGGTTAAAAGAGCTTCAGACACACAACATTTTAAATAAGTTGAATTATTTGGTCCTGATTGGATTCTCGATTTGATTTTATTTTATGGTAACACATGAGGACTTCTCTTGTCTCGCTGTCCTCAGGTGTCCACTGCACTTTGTCTCCTTCTGTGACAAAGATGGAGATGATCTGTCGTTCTCGCTTTACGCAGCGGGTTTGGAGACTTTACATTTAAAAGTCAATATCCATCCAATGATCGATGTTCAGTAACGAGTCACGTTGTTCTCAGAGGAAACATGAAGAAGGTTTAACTGGACTTGAACTCACCTCCGTCCTGCATCGCGGACTGCACCTCCCGGCCGAACGCACCGTGCTCCCGGTACGCTGCGTGCGGGTACGGGTACTCAGCTTTGCCCACCGGGTACGCGCCGCCGGCAGCCATCCCGCTCAGGCTGTAGTGGTGGTACGCGTACGGGTTCATGTGTTGAGCCGCGTACTGCTGCTGCTGAGCCGGGTAGAAATCCTGCGAGCCGCCGTGGAGCGCGCTCTGGCCGCTGTAGAAGCCCATGTCTGTGGACGAGGACTCCGGCAGGGTCGGTGAAGCCTTGGTGGCCGAGATGGAGCTGCCAGCCACGGGGAGCGAGGGCTTCTTCTCCTCGAACACAGGTGAGGGTTGTCCGTTCATGTCTCTCTTGCTCTGTTGTTTGCTCTGAACTCGGGACCGGTGGCTGAGTTCACAAATCCTCTCGCAGTCTGGAGCTGGCGTTCCCAAACTCCCTTGACGCAGCAGCAGCCAGGATGTCCACGGTGGCGGCGCCCAACCCAACCAGAGCTCCTAATTACAGGGTGCGCCGAGCTGAGCCGGGCCGGGCAGGACTGAGGGGAGTGGATGTCTCCTTCTCATTGGTCCGCCCGCTCGCTCCCTACCTCTGCCCCGAGGCCAAGACAGAGCTGACTGTCGCCTGTCTGGCTCCCTCCTCTCCCCACAAAAACCTCCATGTGAAGCCTCTCCTCGGGCCTGAAGCAGGGCGCCCCGACACTTGGCAAACCAGTAAACTCTTCCGACTGACATTCACTTGAACATAGAGCATCAGGAAGACTCAACAACATCCGAGAATATCCACAGACCGGAGATATCCACCGGGAGAGCCGTGCGTAATGGTGATAAGGATGTTTACGCACCAGCTTTCAGCGCTGCCTCCCATTCAAATGCAGATGCGGAGGTGAAGAGCTGTCGTCGGCCCTCGTTGGGAGTTATTTGCAGTTAATTAAGGTTTATTTGAAAACGGCTTCTCCTTCTTTGCATGTGTTGACTTTGGGCCCGCGGGCTCCAGCCATGCCCCGGGGAAGAGAAGCAGCCAACGGGAAAACCCCAGGTGTATAAAACACAGCAGATACACAAGAGGGCTGAAACACGAGCGGCACAACTTCCTCACTGTGAAGTACAGACACAGGTCTGACGAGAATATGAAGTGAAATGATCAGTTCTGCAGTTTCCATTATACTTTCTTAATCCTAAAACCTGAAATAAAACAAAAAAAACATTTAAGAAACACAACAGAGAAAGATTAACTCATCTCGTTTAAAGAGTTCACTTTGGTTAAATGACATGATCTGGTCACCAGGTGTCACTACTGAGCCTCCTGGAAACTGCAGCTTTAAACTCGGCTGGTTTGTTTCCTGATGTGCAGCAACACAAGGGTTCAGCTGGGGCAAGGGAGACACCGACGAGGGCCAACCGCTCTCAGTCCCATCACAAAGTGTCTCCACCGCCCTGAGACCGCAGCTGGTCCTCTGGAACTGACAGAACTCGGGAGGCTCTGGTGTGCGGACGTGAACATCTGAGGCAGAACCAGGCTGGAGGAAGACTGCAGGAGTTTTAGCACAACATCCATAAGTCCTGCACCCGAACCACGAAGAGACAAGGAGCAGAACGCGGCAGCTGATGTTAGAAACCCACTCAGGTCTGATCGACCAGTGGTGAACCGGCCTTTGTGATTAAAAGACTACAACTTGTCCGCAGTCGAGTGAGACGTTCACCATCGTCTCTGTTTTCAAAAAATGCACAGTTCAAGTGTTCCAACAAACTCAAGAGCACATTTTTTCTTTTTTAATCAAACTGTTACTTCAGTTAAAATGAGTCACTGTACAATCATTTTTACATGAACCCTCAGCCACACACACACAACTCTGCATGGTCGATAAGCAGGTCTAGAGTCAGCTGAGTACAGGAGAAACCAAATCACGTTTCCCTGCTTCGCTCATATGATCTGAGAACCACACAGAAGGTTGACTCCTCTGCAGGATCCTGAAATCACATCCGTTACAGTTTTCAGTTCATTTTTTTTATTTTTTATTAGCATTTGTCTTTCTCTGTCATATACGGTAAACCCCCGAATCTTTTCAAAATTTAGTTCCCAGAAATGTACAGCTTGATTTTTTCTTCAGCGTAACCCGCCCTTTTCCACATCTCACAACGAAAAGAGTTCTCTCTCCAGTCACATGTCGAGCGTCAAAAAGCACTTTGCGTGACTAACCGAGCTCTCGGTGGCAAGGTTCACTCTGTTCTTTAAACATTACAAAAAAAAAAGAAAAAGACTTTGACTATAATCAGGCCTTGGATGATGCTTGGCAACTGTTGTATATACAAACAGGAAGTGGGAGGGGAGAGAGGTGTATGGAGACCCGGTGTGTCGATGAGTGTCCTCTCTCTGTGGTGTGGTCCCCGAGTGGTGGATTAGAAGAGAAAATTCCCTGTATGGTCCACGAATCCCAGAATGCCTTGTGACTGAGTCTGAGCAGTCAGGGTGAATCAGGTGAGGGAGAGGAGGCGGAGACGTGTGTGAGGAAATCAGAATTTCAAACATTCACTCTCAGGGTCGGCTGACAGAAAGAGTCGGATCCGGAGAGGGACGGACCGACCGACCCACCACTGCCCTGATATCGTCCGTCCTGAGAGATCGATCACAAATGTTCAGCGTTGAGTTCGTCTGTCGGATTTCACTTCCCTGCTCTGTACGCAAATTAATTCACACGTCACTTCTGTTCCAAAACAAAACTCCACATCGCTTCTGACCCCCGTCCGCATTAACAAACCTGAGGATCAACGTGACCCAACAGAAAGCAGATACTACAAACCACAAACAGAAAGATCAGGGAATTAACGGAGGTGTTAAAGTTGGTGTTTAGGTTTTGCTTTGCCAGCTGGTGGACGAGACATGACTCATCGACACGAGGTGTGAGTCGTCACCTCAGGTGTTAAAACACGTTAGTTATTCTATTATTGAGTTATTCTGGTGGCGGGTCAGAAACTATCAGCTGAGTGGGCGGTCCTCCGTTCTGTCTCAGACCACGAGATCTGATCTCAGATCCCATTGGCTGCATTCAACAGTGAACGTACGGACCACGTGTGACTGGATCGCTCAGGACGGATGTTAACGAACGGTCTGAACATCGCTGACAACAGGGCAAGCAGGTTTTTTTTTTTTTTTTTACAATATATG